AGAAGCAATCAGACACTCAGAAGAGCTGTGTTTATCGCTTCTCTAAGACGGTCAGCTCCTCTGATGCTGGGACTTACTACTGTGCTGTTGTCACATGTGGAACGATATTATTTGGAGATGGAACTCAACTGCAAATTGGTAACACAAAAGTACAAATGCGCATAACATGTTTACGCCATTATGATGGCTTCTTCTTTTTTTTATTCTTCAAGAAGTAATGACATACTTTTTTTTGTTTTTTTGAAGAAACAGGTTGGGAATTTATTGCGCTGGCAATAGCAATAATCTGCCTGGTCATTTCAGTGATTGTAAATATTGTTTTCACCTGTTTCGGAAGACCAAGACTAGCATGTAATAAATTTAAAGGTAAGTGTCATTCATTGAGTGAAATGTAGCAACAGAACAAATGTCAAACCTCAAGTTTCTGCTTATTCTGCATTAATTTATATTTCATTAAGCAATTGTCGAGTTTGAGTATCCATATTGATATCTGTGCTTTCAAAAGCTTTAAATTTTAAAGGCACAATGTTAAAAACTCATCAAAGAAATATATTATTTTAAATTGATTGAAACTTTAAACTGATGAACTAGCAGGTCTAATTATTACTGGAGCATTATTGAGCACTGTAATGAAAAATCTGCTACATTTCATAATATATGTGTATTTGTTCATCATTCATTGGCAATAGACAGCACATCTTCACAAGGAAGAAATGACAACTTGACTCAACCACTGGATGATATTGTAAGTAATTATGTTAGCTCGTATTGCTTTTTGTTAATTCATTACTATGAATCTCTGTAGCAGCTACAATATTTTATGATCTTTTAATTTCAAACAGAATGAAGGTGAGCAGGATCTGAACTATGCAGCAATACATTTCCCTGGAAGGAAAGCTACAAAAGGAAGCAATAAAAAAGAACAGAAGACTGAAGAATGTGTTTATTCTCAAGTTAAGCGCTGATCTGAATGTGTTAACCAACCCTCTTACAAAGTGAATAAAATCATCTTGTGGGTTATTCCACTGTAGATAACTTTAATAATGTTTTGTGATGCAAATAAATAAGGATTTACAACCGCAATCAGTTCTCTGTGGCTTATACTTCTTGTTTCAGTAATTCCAGTAAAGTTTCAGGCTTCACTTAAATAAGTTATTGCACTATATATTTTGGTCTTAATTAAGATGGAAAATTACCACATTAATGTATGTTGCTTAACAAACTGTTCAATATTTGTTCCTATTAATTCTAAATTTTGTTCCTGCTTTTGTTTACGATGGGGCTCATTAGACTGTGAGCTTAAAGCTATGTGAGGCCAAGTGAAGTGAGTAAAGTTTAGTGCACACTGACCAATCTTTCTGTAATTTTTTTT